TGTGTGTGTGTGTGTCTGTTAGAACTCATGGACTACATTGAGCGGCTAGAGGTGTTGCGAGAGATTGTGAAGAAGTTTCCTCCCATAAACTACCAGATCTTCAAATACATAATGACACATCTGAACAGGTAAGAAAAGCTTCACACAGTGAGAAACACACAAAGAAATCAAGAGATGCAAACAATAACATGCTCTTAAGAAGCAAGCTCAGATTAAAGACCACAAATTAGACTAAGTTTGATTTTTATGCATCTACATTTCATAGAGATCCTCCGTATGGAACTTTAGCACCAGGTGTGAATCTAAACAAGTCAACTGGTCTGTGTCTTGTATCTTAATCACATCATCAGTGATTACATCAGCAGAATCGGCATCAACATCCTCTGAACATGTCCCAGAGGTGTCCTGGTTGTAACTGAACATCAATGCTTGATTTTTAGCAGAAAGCCAGTAAGCTGCTGAAGGTTCAACTTTGGTCTTTTCCTCCTGCTTTGCTGCCCCCTGATGGCGACCTTGGGGAAGTTTTTATCTGGCTCCATTTTCCATTTTCTTTCTCCTTCAGATCCTTTACCTGTTTCAAAATATTCCTATCTTTTTACCTAAGAATTTTTTCTAAGAAACTTGACTCTATAATCATTCCATTTCTATGGGACTATAAAATGCACCGAATTAGTAAAACTCACCTTTGCAGGGCAAAATTGAAGGGTGGACTGGCCCTCCCAAACTTTTTATTTTACTATTACTCTTGTGTGCTTCGCACTATTACAATTTGGCTAGATCGCAATTTTACACAATCCAAGGCGATCATATTGGAAAAGGAAGACTGACTGCAGCCCTCATGAAATTGGTGCTCTTATTTTGTCACCAACAACTATAGACTCCTCGGCATATAACAATAACTGCATCATCCACAGTACTATACGTATTTGGAAACAGATAAAATCCCAATTTGGCAATGAGTCTATATCCATCTTATTACCAATAGCAAAGAATCCCTCATTTGTCCCTTCCACTTTAGATTCAGGTTACATACAATGGAAAGAATTAGCCATCAGAACTATTGGTGACCTGTTGGTGGGTGGTAATGTTGATGCCTTGCAGCAAGAAGGTCTTGGGTTCTTTGTGCATGCGTGGGTTCTCTCCAGGTACTCCATCTTCTTCCCACAGTCCAAAAACATGACTGTTTGATTGGTCTCTAAATTCTCCTTAGGTGTTGCCCTGCGAAGGACAACAAAGACCTGTGTTGTCCTTCGCAGGGCAACACAGGTCTTTGTGTTGCCCTGCAAAGGACTGAGATTTTATGACTTGCCCTCTTGTGTAAAGTGTCAATGGTTATCTTTCGAACAACTAACTGTGCCACTGTGCAACCCAAGAAAAAGCAAATAAAAATAATTCAGTTCCTGTATTTTCAATAGGAAAATAAACATTTTATTTCCCAAAGTACAACAGGATCCATTTAGTGAAGCCTTGATCATTTCCACCAAAGTGAAGCTAAAAATCCTTTTAATATTATGTAAAACGCTCGTGCTCTTTCTGCTGCATCAATCAATACAGTGAGGATTGATTATTTAGTGATTTATAATTGGACAGCAAAACATAATAGATTTTTTACTGAATTTGAACCAGGTTGTTCTAAAACTTTGCAAGTCTGTTTATCGATTTTGATTTCTAAATTAGCAGAAGATTATTTCAACAATTGGTTAATACGATGAACGATTGTGGCTGTAAAAGTTTAAAGCTTTGTGTTAATTCATTTGCAAAAAGAAATTATGTATCTGAAAATAAATTAAAATATATTGTGTTATATATTGTGTGGAAAAGAAATTATGTAAGCCACACATGTGCAATCTCAATCAAAATTGGTGACATTTGACAGGCAAAAAATCTTTCTGATTCCATAAATGATGAGCTTCCAGTGACTTCTCTCACTTCAGGGTGACACAGGAACACCTCTAGAATCTCCTAGAACAGTGTTTCTCAACCCTGGTCCTCACCGCCCCCCTGTCCTGCATGTTTTAGGTATTTCTATTCTGCCACACACCTGAATTGTATCTCTGGGTCATTAACAGGCTTCTGCAATACTTGATGGTCATGCAATCATTTGAATCAGCTGTTCTGGAATAGAGGCACATCTAAAACATGCAGAGCAGGGGGGCGGTGAGGACCAGGGTTGAGAAACACTTGTCTAGATCCCAGATATGTTTCTTATTATTTAATTAACATAGACATGAACATTATTCTGCACGACTTCTGCTGTTAAGTTTAGTGCAGTTTTCTTCTTATTGGATCATTATTACTTAGCTTTGAATTCTTGTTGGACCGTTTCCTGTGTCCCACTGTCACACTCATACATTTGGTACTAGCAGCAATTATTTGTGTATAAAATCTGATGGCTCGTACATGTTTATTCTAACGGTTGTGTTATGTGGATTTGTTCCCTGGTCAGGGTGAGCCAGCATAGCAAGACCACCCTGATGACAGCCGACAACCTGTCCATCTGCTTCTGGCCCACCCTCATGCGTCCTGACTTTGAGAACAGGGACACACTGTCCACCACGAAGCTCAACCAGGCCGTCATCGAGACATTCATCGTGCAGAGCGACTATTTCTTCCATGGGGGTGACGTGGCCGAGAGCTCCAGCAACGAGGGAACACCCCCACCACATTGCCACAACATGGTGGAGGCTCTTCTGCCCCTGCAGCTGCCCCCCCCTCTGCAGCCCCAGCAGATACAACACACGCTGCCCCCTGACCCCCTCATTTAACACACCAATAGGTATTCTGGGGCATCGGGAGTTCAGTATGTGCTTCCAGCTGCAAACATAGGGAGTTGCTGGAGGTGCTTCTTCTGATTCACATCAGTGGGTGGCTGATGGCAGTTCAACACATCATAGCTGTTCTTTTTTTTTCTCATATTCTTTCAGCTTTGGTTTCAGAGAGTGCTTGGTGGGATGTTGGACCAGTCCAGATCTGGGAGACGGATTCATTTTGGAAGCTCAGTCTGGATTATGGAATTGCACGTCACATTATGGATTGCATAATTTAGATCAAACTGAATACAGTGAGGAATGAGCTGATCTAGGCACATAATGCTAGTTCTTTATAGGAGTCAAACCTAGTTCCAGAGTTTTTCAACATATTTGGGGCAAAGACTCCATCTCTACCCTCATGGAAAAGCACCCTAAGTTTTTTTTTTTTTTTTTGTCCTGTTACAGGCCCAGCCTCCTGATGCCATCTGGGCATTACAACTTATACTCTCATCTGAAAACCTGATGAGTGTATAATGATAATGACATACACACCAAGGGGATTCTAGTCTTCCTACAGATTCTGGCACAGGAAAACAGTTTCTGACTTAAAGTCATTTCGGGACATGTTTGAGTCCTCAACCTGTGAAACTAAAACAGGATTCTGAACTTTAAGCCCTGCACCTTTAATGTTTTCAGGAGGTGATGGGTTTTCAATACTAAACAATTCTTTTTCCACTACACAAGCCTAAAGGAACCCTTAAAGGACAGCCCATGCACGACTAGTGTCAATGGTCCATGTTGCAATTCATGTTGTTAGCTTGCTTTATCCTGTCATGTTTTTTTTATATTTTGGTAACATCTAATTTCTATCCATGTTGTGTGTCTGTGTGGGTGTGTGTTTGCTGTTGTGTAACAATGCTGATGTGTTGGATGATTTATCTGTACAAACTTACATGTGGTCGGCGTTCCGGCCTCTTCCGGGGAGGACGGGTTCTGAAGACTGGTGTCACTCTGTCCAGGAGGACCAGGCTTAACTTCTCGTGCTCAGTTCTTCAGTTTCTTAAAGCGACAGCTCCCCGTGTCTTCTTGGCTTTGTCACCCTATTTCCTTAATTTCTTTATTTCTCTTTGTCAGAAAATGTGCATGTTTTTACCACTTTATGAAAAAAAGACAACTACTCAAAATTAAGTGAAAAACTTTAACATTATGAGTTAGGATCCCCACCACTTTATTTGATTTTTTAAGGGCAATATTTCAACAGAAAAAAAAAATCTCATTTGCATTACCTTTTTTGTTGTTCCTGGAGGAAATCATGTCTTTAATATCATATTTTTTTCTTAATATAGTTCCCTAAATAGAGGAAAGAAGTATATAAGTCTATATATAAATATATGTCTCTGAGCAGCACAAGTTTCTTAAGTAAAAAACTACCATGGGGTACTGGATCCTAATCTGTCACAAGCTATGATCATACATGTTTATTATGGTGAATGTTATTTTTTTATTTCTGATGATGCGAATGTGAGTATGTGCACATTTGGGGTGAGTAAGGGAGGAAGGGTTGGGATGGGTGGTCATACTAGGTCAGTAGTAACTCAGAAAAAGAAAGGAAGAAGGTCTCAATCTTCATCTGTGATACTTAAACAACACATCTCCTTTCCCAGTTCTCTCCCTTCATCCTGTGAGTAAAATATTTCAGAAATCTACATCCTTGCCTGCCTTTGGCTACAGGATGATAAACATTTATTACAGCTTATTTTCTCAATCTTCTGTCCATCTTGAGGACAAATGTTTTTGCTGCTTGATATAGATATATTACTCTTTATTTTACAACTCAAAAAATTCTAAAATTGTATTATAAATCTGTTAGTTTTTTTTTATTTCTTTAACATTTTCTGTAAAGAGTGCAATTTTGTGGTACTTTACCCTAACTCTACATTTCAAAGGGAAGCTTCTCATCCAAAAACAACCACTAATGCTTATGTCTGCAAGGATTTCCAACACTGATATTGCCATGGTTCTGTTTTTATGTAGCACATGGTTGCTCAACTGAGGTACAAAATGTCTTTGCAAGTAAGCAGTTTAACATTTATTGTTATTGGCCTATTTTCAATCTTAAGCATTTTTTTTGTTCCCCAACAAAACATCAAATTCTCCCAAAGCAGTTTCAGAGGTCTGGTTATCACTCCAGGTGGCTAATGAACACCTAGCAAGGTGTTCATCTTTTATCTCATCCAGTGATTGAGGGGGACTATAAAACATGCATTAAATCTAAAATATCTTTCTGTCCTTAGATATTTTTTGATTAGGAAAAATTCATTTATAGCAATTTTTTTCAGTTTTACCATTTTAAAATGTACAACTCATGTCCTTTAACTAGTTGATTTTGTTTTCCTACAGGATCATGATTCACGAGTCTTAGTTTGGATAATTGGTAGCCTGGTAAAAACCAGCCCCTTGTTCTAGGCCTCGCTTCATCCAGAGGGTCTGGACTCTCGACTATTGAGAAACTATTGCTACTTTGTTGAAGTTGTAAATTTTACCCAGTCGCTAATGTTTGGCCATGACGTGTGTGTAGCTTAATGGAATTTGCGTACGCTGTAAACAACACTAAGGGGAGTAGGGCCACGATATCTTTGCCAGCAATAAAATCTATTAAACATTCCTCTTGTTACGACTTTATTTGCTCAATATTTGGAAGCGTGGCCAATACGAACCGAATGACTTTGTTCACTGCCATTGCTAAACTACAACCCCAAGTTACTAACCTGAACACACCATTCATTAGTCTGACTTATAAAGTAGAAGTGCCACATTAAATTCGCACAGATTTTCTTAACTCCTTCTTCATCAAATCTTACTATA